ATCTCTTGACCAATTTGAGATCTAATTACACCTTTGAACTCAAGAGGTCAAATCCTTTCGACTGACGTATTTAACCACTCCCAAGATCTCACTGATTAATTTACTCTAATCCTGACTAAAATAATTTCAAGTACCGTAGCTACCGGGGGTTCCCTCTTATTTTTTCTTTCTTTATAGTCTTATGGTGCCTTTTATGTATTAAGGATTTTGGTGTTAATTTCTTATTTTGTTTTTACTTTCCTTTACAAATTGTATCCAATTAACTACTTTCTTCTTAATAGAAGAAAATTAGATATACTATAAATGCATTTAATTTCAATTTTAAACTTAAGTATCATAATTTACCAGTTATCACTTTCTTGACCACTGACCACTTAATTGCCTGTTGCTTGCCGTTGGATCACTGCAAATGGTCACGTTTTACTGCTGGTGGTTTTAGTAAATCCATATTACTCATTACAACTACGATATATAACAACAGTGTTGTAGCTATAAAACTATAGAGGGCCATCTTAACTCATGCAAGAGTATGTATTATGTATTATCAGGTGAAAGTTAATACTGAGTTATACATGTAAGGTAATCACACGTTACTTTGCTAAACATATTTTTTGTTGTTGTTGTTGTCAAGCGCGAAGCAACACGGGCTATCTGTGTTTTGGTGCCACCGGAGGGTATCGAAACCCGATTTCTTAGTATTATAAGCCTTCCAACTTACCGCTGAGCCACTGGTGGGCGTTAAACATGTAAAATAACACCACTTCAATTTACGCTTCAACTGTAGCTATACATAATGGCAACAAAACAACAACAAATTCTACGTCAATGAGATCGTCGAATTTACTCCTGGTGACATCAAGATAGAAACGCAGTGACATATTTTAAGTATCAAAAAACACATTACGACAAGAGATGCAATTGATATATATATATATATATTACGTTCAATGTGAACATAGCTAAAGCTGTAGGTTGAAAAGCGTCGTACCAACAATAAAAGGAATTGTGATAAATTAGATATGTATTGCAAGTTCTCTTATTAATTAAATCTTAATGTTCAATGCTATTTTAAATTAAGCATATGCATGTATAGGCTTTTCGGGCATCACAGAAAATTTTGAAAATATTTCTTTTGAAAGTTCGATTTTAACCAAGGATGTTCAATGATATAACGCCATTTTGCGTTGTTGGCTTTTCTTCAGATCATTGTTACGTCTAAACAATGCATTTCGAAGACGGTGAATTACTAATCACGCTGGATAATTGTCATTTATCGTGCTACTTAACGAATACGCACAGAGAACAAATCGTATGTTTGTGTTTGTTGTTAAGCCCAAAGCTACACCATGGGCTATTTGTGATCTGCACATCACAGGTATCGATACCCGTCTTTTAGCGTTATAAGCCCTCAGACTTACCGCTGAACCACCCGGAGGCACCAATATCAGACACTGATGACTTTCCTAATAAAAAAAAAACATCTTAATCGAATACGAAGTAACTCAAAGTACCGCCATTTAATTAAAAAATAACACGTTCATGCCACGTGACTACAGAGTTGTCTGAAATCTGGTTTTAGACGTCGTTGCTGAAAACATTAAAATAATTCATAATTCCAGTTGCTATATTAATTTTTACAGTAGTTACATTTGACTTTATACGTTTTAGCAGGTCCTCATCTCCTTTCCTCAGTGCATGAGATAACTGTGTCTTATTAGTCTCGACTAAATACGCGGCTTACTCAATTGCACACACTTGGCAATAACATAGCGATGCAATTACGTATTATCATATTTTTGACACACAAACAGAAAAAAACTCGTTTAGAAGGGAATCACAGAGCTCAAAGTACTTCAAACTGTTCATGAACAAGATACTTGGATATTTCACTATCGTAGACAACCGACAGAAATAGAAGGAAACTAATTAATAAGGACTGTTTGATTCAAGCATTTGAAGCTGTCATTAGCAGATTATGGAACCCCTTTCAAATTAATGGTAGGGTTGTTTGAACACCTGGACAAAGCAGGCCATCATCATTGCTGAATACAAGTAGACGACCGTTATCTGTCAATTTTGGCTCACTGTAATATCAGGGTACAGGCTCCGAATTTGAATCAGCTGTTTGCAGCTGTAATTTGTATGCCAGACATCAAATGAGCAAGACACAAAACAGCTAGCTTGTAATGCTACTATGAACACATCCAGAATAATAACATGTGAACTTTTTTTTTAAACGGATGAGTTGAGCTTTATCCTGAAACCAGAGAGCAAGCTTGTTAAACAGAAAAAAAAAAACGAAACTTGCTTCATCCCATTTTGGTACAAGAACGTAAAGCGTATGTCCTTAGCGTACGGCGTGAGCAGAAATAAGTACTGTTTAACAGACCGACCTTTGCATCCTTTGAAACGATTTCATTAATGTTGCACGTGCTAAGGACCACGTCCTACGAAAGGTTGCGTTCCATATGCTCGTAAAATTGCCCAAATTTTCAACTTGAAAATTAGTAACCGCCCACATTTTTCTCTGGCGATGAAAAGCTAACTACTAAGGCACGACTGGCCAGCCGTATACAGGAGGGTTTGGATGCTAACCACTAAACAACGACTGGCCAACCGTGTACAGGAGGGTTTAGATGCTAACCACTAAGGCACGACTGGCCAGCCGTATATAGGAAGGTTTGGATGTTAACCACTAAACAACGACTGGCCAACCGTGTACAGGAGGGTTTGGATGCTAACCACTAAGGCACACCTGGTCAACTTTATATAGGAAGGTTTGAATGCTAACCATTAAGGCACGACTGGCTCGCCTTGTATAAGAAGGTTTGGATGCTAACCACTAAGCCATGACTGGCCAACCGTGTACAGGAGGGTTTGGATGCTAGCTACTAAGGTACACCTGGCCAGCCATGACAGGAGGGTTTGGATGCTAACCATTAATCCACGACTGACCAGCTTTGTATAAAAAATTTAGACTACTATGAATGGATAAAATAGCTAAATATCAATTAAACTACGTATGAAGAGATTTGAACAACCAAAATATACACATGGAGAAAAACATTCTAGAGACTTCATTAGGCTGGACTGTAATATTGATTTATAGTAAATTGACAAACAACGAATTAAAACCACTTCATTCTGCTTATAAATGTTTGTCAATTTACAATTAGATTAGCACAACGTGATTCCATACAAATATTTATCGAATATAACTTTTTTAATGAGACCGTTTCGGAATATTTAAACCTCAATTTCAATATTCAAAAGACCAATGTTGTGCTCCCCCCCCAAAAAAAAATTTTCCCATGTTTCAGGATATTTCTATCTCAGTTAAAATATTCAAAATTTTGGTCGACCTGGACTCTGACCCTGAGGCACACTGCCCCACCTAAAGCTACCCCACTATAATAATAATAATAATAATTTGAAAATCTGTGCGACACGTTTTTGTCTACAACATTCAAATACTAAACCTCAATACTATAGGAGGCGATTTGGATAACCGTAATGAGCAGAATAAATTTTACTAAACAATAAAAGTCCCGCATAAATCAGCTAAAACTAATTAAACTTTCTACAAGACCTTTGGGCAACCTCACTACATTAAATCTATATAAATAAACGTCAATGTGTATGTGTTTATCTGTTCCTTATAAGTTTCCACATTTCTTAATCAATTAGTACCAACCTGACACAATGATACAGGGTGACATGAGGAAGGTCGGGGGTGTTTGGACCCCCTCAATATAATTTCATATCTAATTTTGGAAAAACTACGATTGTTGTATACCCCTCGGCGTTAGAATGAACTATGTAACCACTGTTGTTAGAATTCTTGAAAACAGTATGTCTTTCTTTTCAGTATTGGTACATTCATGTATTTTTAATGCACTTATAATGTTT